ATGAGTACTCCACGCCCTTAACAGATCTAGCACGATTTTTCTTGTAACCCTGTATATTGAGGGATTTTGATGCAGAAATAGAAGATATTAGCTAAATAGCAATAATGTGCAGGACAACAAAAAAGAATTGTTATTGCAACACTCATGATTTTAATGAACCCGAATTATTTAAATTCAAGCAATCAAAGTATAAGTGAGTGCCTTCTCCAAAATGATGAATGTGTTTTACATCCTTGGCAAATCATGTGAGATAATATCCCAAGAAATTGAAAAAGTCCCATTAAAATGTAAATTGAAAGATACTAACTATAATATCGTGCGATCACTGTATATCTTTTTCTTTTTTAAAGAAACATAGTTTGCGAAGAGGGCATAAACAAATAGAAAACGAAATCGAAGGACAATATCTCAATCCCCACAAACTGATTTCTCTTTCAGCAATGTTACTTGTTATGTTCTACTTTATAACAATTTATCTTTATTACAAATTATATAGAAAGTAAAGTTTTGTTAAATGAGATATTGTTTGCATTGTACCTATATAGGGCTTTCTATTTCTCTAATTGATTGAGCATTATTTTTAACCTATGCTTCAAGAAATATTTAGGTTAAGATGTTAATCAGGGTCAACCAATATTGAATATTCTAGAATGGAAAGTGGTTCATCCTCAAGCTCTGTTAGACTTGATTCGGGTGCTACAAAATGGAAAGATAATGCAAAAAAGATAGAACGAAAACGCGAGCATCTACGATACAAAGTATACACGATCAGTAGGCAAAATTCATGAATGAATCGTGATAACAGATTTAAAAACAGCATTACAATATATACGCGAGCAGTTTCCTACGGCTGTGTTCTGGCGTTGTATACAATGGAAAGACGCGCATCTGCATATTCTTGAGTATGTACAATCTGATAGAGATCCCCAACCTATTTATAAGTGAGAGAAGTAGGAAGGATATTATACAGTTTCGTTTCGTTTTGTCTTTACAGATTTCTGAATTTAATGCAGAAGGTGGTGATGAAGCCACAAAAGCAACAAAAAACCGTAATTATATTGATTACTACTGTACTCCAAAACAATGGGGTCTAGTGTTAACTGCCAGTTCATGAGGTACCTTGAGGATCACCAGCTGATTAGTGATCGCCAATACGGTTTTCGCCGTGGTAGGTCAGCTGGTGATCTTCTGGTCTACCTAACTCATAGATGAGCGGAGGCAGTGGAGTCCAAGGGGGAGGCATTTGCCATTAGTTTGGACATTGCGAAGGCCTTCGATCGGGTTTGGCACAAAGCGCTTCTTTCGAAGCTCCCTTCCTATCTGCTTCCCGAGAAATTGTGCGATTGGATCACCAGCTTTCTTGCAGATCGGAGCATCAAGGTCGTTGTAGACGGTGCAAGCTCCGATTGCAAGCCTATTAATGCTGGCGTTCCACAAGGCTGTGTGCTATCGCCAACGCTGTTTCTTCTGCATATCAATGATATGTTGCGAACCCGTAACATTCATTGCTATGCAGATGACAGCACCGGTGATGCTCTTTACACCGGCCGAGCTAATATTTCTCGGGAAAACGTCTCCGAGTACCTGGACCAACTTGTGTCCGAAGTCGAGTCTTTGCTGAACAGTCTCGGATTGGGGGCGACTAAATTTAGTCCAGTTTAACCCCCAGAAGACACAAGTTTGCGCGTTAACCGCTAAAAAGAACCCCTTTGTCGTATCTCCTCAGCTTCAAGGCACTCCCCTTGTTGCCTCAGCCAGTATCGGAATCCTCGGCGTCGACATATCGAGTGACGTGCAGTTTCGTGGTCACTTGGAAGAGAAGGTCAAATTGGCCTCTAAAAAGCTTGGCGTGCCCAACTCTCTGTGGAATAGTTTACCACCAGCGATTTTTCCGGACCGATACAACCTGGGAACCTTCAAGAAAAGAGCTTACTCCTTTCTAAAGGGCCAGCAACGCACCTGCAATTCCTCTGGTGTTGCGGTTGATCATGGGCGGCGGTAGTCACTTAACATCAGGTGAGCCGCATGCTCGTTTGCCCCCTCTTCTATAAAAAAATAATACATTTTATAGTTTGGTTATTATTTCATGTCTTAATATGTTGCATGTAGTTGTAGAAGGTAGACTTGAAGAGCGCCTTGAAATTCAAGCTGCAGGCTTGGATACACTCTAACAGCCCATAAATAATCTGGCTGCAGCCATTAAAAATTTTGCTGCAGCCCTCAACTCCGTGGTCAATACAAGTGATAAAGTTTAATCTAAGGTGGTAGGTCATAGAAATAAAATATCTATTTTTGCCTTGTATTAGGTTTTGTTTCTATGTAAAACTATCAGGATGAGTAGAAGAAATTTATTCTACAACGATGAAGATGATATTTTGGATGCCATTAATGATTCTGATTTTGGGGAGCACTCCGAGAAAGTTGAAAATTTATTTACCACCAGGAGAAGAATCTAAAAATCCAACTGATGATGAAGAATCCAAAGATGAGATCAGTGCTCCTGTGGTTGCAAAACCGGTCAATAGAAATTGATATTTCTATTGATAGCGTATGCCTACAATCATGCGCTTCGTGCACATGATTAAGTTCATGCAATATGTTGTTGTGGCGGTAGGGGTGTATTGTTCCGTTTTGAAACGGAATCAAGTTATATAAACTTTTACGGTGGAGTTGTCAGACGCATTTGCTTACTGATAGTAACAGTGTTTACATTGTATTCAACATTGATCCACTGCGTGAATTTTTAATCTTCAAAGATGGACAGCAATCTATCACCAATTTCGTTAACCGAAAACGACGATTGTGTCAAAATTGTGGCTAAAAGTGTGGTAAAAAAAAGGTCACCTCCATGTCATCCACGACTATGCCTGTAGCGGATCAACATGCAGATGTCTCCATATCCAACACCTCAGAGAATATACAACAGAAACAAATGACAAAGGAGAAGACGACTATTGGGAAAAGAGTCAAACACAATAATCCCAGAAGGCAAAATTACTCCCGAAGAAGCGGAAAGCATCGATCAGTCTTGCCCGAGCTCATTCATTAGTACTGGGAAAATCTTACAAAGTATCTTCTTAAAGGACGGCGACGTATATATCAATATAACGTCGCCGGGAGAGCGTGGGTATATGCTTATGAAATTAGAGCTCTATCCATTCAAATATTGTGTAAAATTGTCGAAGAATCAGTATTGGATGAAGAGGAACTTCAGCTCATTGGCAGTGATCTCCGGGCCGGAATCCCCTGCGTACAAGATGCTGATGGCACTCCGAACTCAGATAACCATGGACATAATAAAAATACAGGGAGTCAAAAGCAAAAAGAGAAGTCTAAGAGTTTGGAAAAGTGGCTAGAATCATTTATTATTTCTTCAATGAAGAATATTCTATATGCTGGTTATTGGAACAATGGTCCATACAAATACGTACCTAAAAACAATTACTTGTAACCTGTTTTCATAATATTCAACAACGTATTGTTGATATGTCATATCGTGAATTGTTTTTAAAAACACTCAATCAGTATTAATAAGTTAATTTATGTAGATCCTTGGAATAGTGTTTCTGAATATTATTTTGATGTATTTGATAGTGTCGAAGTATTGGAGTAATTTTTAAATCATCAGTTTTAAAAATTTCGAGTATTGTTTATATAACTTTAAAAAAAATATTATTTCAGATAAGAAGGTACCTAAAAAAATTGTACTTGTGTAGTAATTCCTTTGTCTAGTGGTAACAATTATTTTTTTGATTGTTTAATTCATTCATGTATTATGTGTTTGGTCTAATTGGTAACTTTAATAAATACGATAGATTTCCGTACCGTACCAACCAGATGGTCCAGACGGATTTTCAGAATAAATCTAACGTGAATTCACGTCCAATACGCAGTAAATAGAAGCATAATTTATATACACCTACAATTAATAATTTTATGTATTTTAAGAGCACCTTTTGCACAGGTATTAAAATATTTAATCATCTGCCACCTGATATAAAAGCCATGGACTTGCCAAAATTTAAAATACAACTCAAGAAATGGTTAATACATAATGTTTTTTATAATTTAAATGAATATTTTAATAGCAAATAACTTATTCTAAGTTTTGATTTTCAATTATTGCATACCCGATATGGGTAAAACGTGTAATATTTAATTGCAATGTCACCCGCAAATTGTACATACACAGTTTATTAGCAATAAATATTCTGATTCTGATGTTTTGTTCAAAACCTATGCCATCAGTTACTTCAATTACAGAAGAGATATGCATTTTGTTTGGTTGTTTTTATACATATTAATATACCTACTTTATTTTTCTTCATATATTATCTATTTCTGCATATATCAATTTTATAGGTACTATGCCTGCGAATACTTTGAAAATTATTTCACAGAAAATTTATACGAAAAATTTGCACTGAATAGAAATGTTTACTACATCTAAAAACGATGTGCGGAAACAACCGATTAATTCAGGTGAAGTAAGAAAATTCTTTAACTACTGGTACACGCATAAACTGACTCGAAGAAATAACTGTCAGACACTATGGAGATCGATGCTCCTGCTGCAGGAAGCAGTCGTAAACGTATCCTGGATGCGGATGACAATAACAATGAGATACCGGGCCCTAAGAGGCCGAGAATCAACTTACAGGATGTCTGGCGGCAGATTAATGTTTTTAAATACGATTATTTCTAAAAGTACTAAGCGGTGAGGGGGGAGGGTGGCGTCATTAGAAACAGATCGTGCGGATTTCTCAGTCTCGATGTCGCAGTGGTCGGGTGTTCATCGCACTTTCGCCATCGAGGCATTTTTCAAGAGTAACGATTCTTACGTGATTGCTCGTCGACAATTTTGTTCACGTTGTACCAAAGGTATTCGGCGGATAGGGCCGAAACACATAAGCGCGTTGCGGCGCCGCGCCGCTGAAATCGGCAGTGCGCTATAGCGGTGCGGCGCCGCAACGCACGACGTGAATTCCAGCGTTATGACGTCATACTTGTTGACAAGGATGCAGTTTGTTTCTAACACTCTTGCAAACAACACGTGTCAACCGAGAAGCAGTTTTAAAATTAAAATGTCTGACGTTGACGTCGATCTGTTTATATCTTCGGTTCAGGAACACCGTTGTTTGTGGGATACTAGTGACGAAACCTATAAAGACAAATTTATAAAACAAGAAGCATGGAAAAGCATTTGTGAGATCGTTTATATTGATTACAAGGAAAAAAACTCAACCGAAAAATCAAAACTGGGTAAGTAGTAACATATAGTCTTAGGCAATGATATTTTAAACTAAAGATAAGTTACGTTCATAGTAATTTACGTTTTAAATCTGTTCCTGTGTTTAAATCATTACCTCCCAGCAATCCAAAACTGCACACATTTGCAAGTTTTACTGATAAGCAAACCAAAAGATATGAAATAAAACGCAATTGAAAGAGATAGCTATAATTTTAATGGTTGCACTTCAAACGTTTCTTGTGCATAGAGTAACATTTATAGTCGTAGAGTGGACACTTGATTCAAAACTATTCAAAAGTACATAGATAAGAAATAAAACATCTTACAAAAGTAAAAATAATAAGGTATTATTTGTATTTTGAACTGAGTAGGTATACGAACATTCATATTTTCTTTAATTGCCAACTTAGGGCGCCAACATCACTGGAAAAGTAATTACAAAAATCATTCCGTATTAGATGTGGGCTTAAATTATTTTCATTTGCTGTGGGCAAATGCAACATTTGCAGATCAGAATCATCAAAGATAATGTCATCGGTCGCTTGTACTCCATCTCGATTCAAAACAAAGTTGTGCATTACACAACATGCCTTGATAATGTCTGTCGCAAATTCGTATTGCACATTCATAGATCGATGAAATATGCGCCATTTATTGGCTAGGATGCCAAAAGCGCACTCGACATATCTTCGGGCACGACTCAGTCGATAATTGTAAACTCTTTGTTGTACCGACAAATGTTTTCCTGAGTAAGGGCGCATGACGTTATTCGAAATTGAGAATGCTTCATCTCCTACAAAAACAAATGGAGTTTCATTTTGAGAACCTGGTAAAGGCTTTGGTACAGGAATAGGTAATTTGCGTGTCATAATCAAATCATAAAGTTTAGAGTTCTGGAAAACGGTGGAGTCACTTTCCTTGCCATACGCACCTATATCGACAAAAATGAATCTATATCTAGAATCTACAAGAGCTAATAAAACTATTGAATTATAGCCCTTATAATTGTAAAACAGTGATCCACTGTGCGCAGGACATGTAATACGGACATGTTTACCATCAAGAGCTCCTATGCAGTTAGGAAAATTTGCTTTCTTGTCAAACTCAATAGCGACATCTTCTAGAACCTGTTTTGTTATAGGAGGTATATTTTGACTTGATAGATGTTTCCATATGGCGCGACAAACTGTCCTTACAATTTTTGCTATTGTACTTGCTCCTCGGAAGTAATTCGTATGCATGGTTTTAAAGTCACTGCCGGTTGCTAGAAATCTAAAATGAAATAATAATTAGTAGGCAAATAATAAAATAATACAAATGTAGGTATAATCAAACTCAAACCGCGCAGGTAATAGTGTTGCTAAAGGAATAGATTTTCAAAGATAGACAGGTAGTTTTTCAAAGAAGTACTCAATAAATATTTTACATTATGGTTGTTCTAGGCAAAGTCAATCAGTTTTTAACTTGCCTAAGTCAAGAAAAAGCAGAAAATTATTCTTTTTCGGCGGCCAGCCATTTATATGAAATTGGATGGACCGAAAGTACTTATGAAAGTTATATCAAATTTTATATGTAGTATAAATGGAATCTAGGGAATTTTAGTCTTTATTACTATTTTTCACTTGTGAAGTTTTTTGTTGCAGGTAATGATTTAGTCAAGAAGTGGAAGGCCATAAAAGATAATTTTGCTAAATATCAAAAAAAACTAAAAGATGCCAATCGATCAGGAGCTGGAGCTGCAAAAATTAAAGAATATCACTTGAATAAACAATTACAGTTTTTGAAAAAAGGTTTCACAAAATGCAACTGATTCCAGTTTATGCATAGCGGAAGGAGATATTGAGAATGAAATAACGGCATTGCCTCGTTATAAAAGTCAACCACGAAAACGAAAGGCAGATGATAAGGATGATATTGAAGAAGATTTATTGGCAATATTAAAAACACCGGAGAATAGACATTTGCATTTTTTCAAGGGGATTTTACCATCTCTACAATCGTTAAATGAGAATCAAACATTGATATTTCAAAGTCGGGTGCTTCAAATATTAACCGACATTCTTCAACCTTCAATTCATCAAAATACACATCACGGCTATAATCAAGAATATCAGCATCAGGGTTACAATCAAGGATATTCAACTATGAGATACGATAATACGGTTCAGAGTGGCTACCACACTTCTACTCCTGGAAGTTCGATTACTGAACAGAGGACTACCTCATCATCAAACCAACAACGTCCAATAAATTCACCATTTTTACTGGACGAAACGTCAGCTACTTCCTATGTTTCACAAGATGAGGAGTTTGATTTTTCTTAAATTGATCATTACATTTTTTAAGGCCTATTAAAGTATTCTTAAAGTAAGAAAATTGTATAATGCAAAAAGCTTAATTTGATTCTGTCTTGTTTCATTTGAACCTGGCTTTGTACCACTAGGTACCCCCAAACCATGAACACTAGTGATGCAAAATTTTTATCGACACCCCGCTAGTACCACAGGTGTATAAAGCCAGGGGTACAAATAAAACTAAACATTTGATTCCGAGTGCCATAAACATCAATAAAAAAAAATAAGAAACCTATTTGTTTTACCTTAAAGTTAAGCCCAGCATTTCCAAAGCAGTAACTGGTTTTCTTCCTTTATTTTTTTTCTTCTGTATATATTTTGATAACTCGCTTAATAGCTCTTCAAATGATGATATACTCATTCTAAAGTAGGCAACAAATTTTTTTTCGTCTATCTTTAATGCTTCGTATTTTTTAGAAAAGAACTCGCCATTTGGATTCATACCCTTACTTAATGGATGTATCCAGTATCTTCTTTGCCGTATTTTTTAAGATAGAATAATGTCTTCTTAATAACAAATAAGCAATAAGTTTATTACGATCCATCGCAGAGAGACGTCTATCCACACTCAAAAATCACGAGAATGGTTGCCCTACCATAATGCCCTGTTTCGCGACGCCGCAACGCGGCAACGCAACTGCCGATTTTGGCGTTGCGGCGCCGCAAAAATAAGCAGTTTGCGTTATGTGTTTCGGCCCATAAGTGACGGACCGAGTGTGAATTTAATTCGTTCCTGGGTGCAAAGGTTCCGTGCAACTGCTTCGGCTTTGAACACCTCACGGCCAGCGCCCAGCCAGTCTTCAAGGACTCCCGATAAGATTGAACTGGTGGAACGGAGTTTACATGAAAATCCACGACTTTCAATACGGAAAAGGGCAGGCTCATTGGGACTTCCAAGAGCCACCATTCACGAAATTTTGAAAAACGATCTGAAGTTTCCTCCTTTTAAAATTCAAATAGTTCAAGAAGTGAAAGAAAATAAGTTTCTTCATCGTAAAGATTTTTGTGAAACGATGTTGGAGCGTTTTCGTACGGTAAATTTCAATTTTTTGAGCGACGAGGCTCATTTTCATTTAAACGGGCACGTTAACAAGCAAAATTGCCGTTACTGGTCTCCATGAACCCGTACCCTCGACTGAAACACCAAAAACCATTGCACTGCCCCAGGGTAATTGTTTGGTGCGCTTTATCTACGAATGGGATAATGAACCTTTTTTTAAAATGCCCGGGGCCAGGCGATAAATGCCAATAGTGAGAATTATTGACGCATGATTACGGATTTCTTTTTGTGGAACCTGCGAGCTCATCCATCGTTCTCATCACAAACGTGGTTCCAACAGGATGGTGCAACCGCACACGGCCAGAGCTTCGATGGATTTGCTTCGAGAAGCTTTCCCTCACAAATTGATTAGTTGCTTTGGAGACATCCCGTAGCCACCGAGATAGCTCGACTTGACCCCCATTGATTTCTTCTGATGGGGCTACTTCAAAGATAGAGTATACACGTGTTAGTGTATACTCTTTCTTCCGCGAAATGTCGCTGATTGAAAACAAAACATGCGTCAAGAAATCGGCGCAATAGAACCAAGCTTAGCAGCGTGTGGCGCGGAACACAAGGCTGCGTTTCTTGAACATTGCGTGCAACTCGATGGAAGACATTGGGATGATGTAATATTTAAAAAATGAAATCCGCACTTTTACACTATTACAAACTTATTTATTTATATATCTATTATAGAGACAAGGTAATTTTTTCCATTTTATGTATGGTACGATTTATTAAACGCAGATGATTTAATTTATTATACGCTGATAGAGTTACTCGCTGTTTAGTACTTACCTTTAAAACAATACATGCACCACTTAATTTGTGTGCTTCGATAACGATTAAAATCCCACTTAAACGAAAATGATGGACAAAATACTACAGACTTGAGACATAAGGCAAACCTTTCGATTTTATTCATTATAATAAAAAACAAATTTGCCGGCAGTATAAGCTGATGGAGTGACTCGCTGTTTAGTATTTCCATTCAAAACATAATGCACCAAGTTAATAGTTTTGCTTCAAAAACAATTGAAATCCTACTCAAACGAAAAAGATGCACAAAATACTTCAGACTTGAGACATAAGGCAAATCTTTCCATTTTATTTATTATTAATAAAAAAACAACTTTTCCGGTATACGTTGATAGTGACTCGTTGTTTAGTATTTCCCTTCAAAACAATGAATGCACCAAGTTATAGTTTTGCTTCAATAATAATTGAAATCCTACTCAAACGAAAAAGATGCACAAAATACTACAGACTTGAGACATAAGGCAAATCTTTTCATTTTATTCATTATTAATAAAAAACAAACTTTCTGGCAGTATACGCTAATGGAGTGACTCGTTGTTTAGTATTTCCCTTCAAAACAATGAATGCACCAAAATATATTATATAGTTTTGCATCAATAATAATTGAAATCCTACTCAAACGAAAAAGATGCACAAAATACTACAGATTTGAGACATAAGGCAAATCTTTTCATTTTATTCGTTATTAACAGCTTGACTGCCCATTTCGCACCGATGCGTAATGCGGGGGTGAGCGTGGAGGGCGCTTCTCGCACCGGTGCGGAAAGCTAGGTATACAAATTACAAAGGCCACTACGCCGCGGGCTTTGCGCGTAGAGCGTCGTTTGTAGATTGGTCTTACGAGTGAATTTCCGGCGATTTTTTTTACGTGAAAGCGGTTTTGTATTATCTGTTATTGTTTGGCTTATATCTGCACATTATATTCGTTGACGCCTCCTCTGTGTTGTATACTATGTAATCATGAATTGACGGACCGAATCACACGAATTTTAACCTTTCATGGTAAAAAATAAGTTTTTTACTGGTATCCCATATGAGCTCCTACTGGCAACACTATACGCCTCATGTCATTGTGAATTTTTCGTGCCGAATCAACGAGTCGAACTCTCCAACCTAAAATTATTTTTGTAACTTTTTAAGTAATATTCTTAATAATAGTGATATTTATTAGTGAATGCTAACATGAGTAAAAAGACGAAACTCATTGAAACACTGGTTAATCTTTTAGACGATTCCAACGAAGGTAATTTTTTATTTGATGCATAATGGCGTCATAACTGCGTAGAAACGTAAAATGTAATAAAATTCCTATGTATGAGACAGGACGGGAGCCTGTACATACTTAAATACGTTATTATATACATTTTATTATATTTTGATAATTTGGCGACCTATTTTAACAGAAAACTTTAATAATTGTCTTGCGGTGCAACGAGGGTGTACACGAGACATGAAATATTTAATGATTGCCTTGAGGTGCCACGAGGGGGTACACGAGGCATGGAATTCGAAGTTTAATTCAATTTATTACCAAAAAATGTACAAATTAGGACATATTTTACTCGCGGTACCACTGAGGGGGTACACGAGGTTATATTTTTATGTTTCTTTTACAACTGATCTTACTTAATTTCAGAACCAAAAAAGAGATATATTATTTATTCAAGCGATGAGGAAGATCAGGATTCTGTTCCGACCACCAATACCCAAGAAAACGATATAGATATTCTTAGTTTGATTGGAGAACCTTATCTAAAGAAAAATTCCTTGGAAATAAATTCTAAGCTAGCAGAACTATGGCGGTCTCTTATAACCAAGGGCTTAGATAAAGAATCAAAGAGGGGTATTGTAGAAAAAATTCCTTGTATAACAAATTGTACCTTAAATGCCCAAAATTAAACCATGAAATTACTGCTATTTTAAGTAGTAATGCTAAAAAACCAGAGATATAAAGTTAAGTGAAAAGCAAGACCAAATTGGCTTAGTAATTTCAAATTTGAATATAGTACTGTCAGATCTCATTAAGAAAAAAGATAAAGAAAACATTGATGTGATAAGTGACAGCATTAGACTATTATGTGATTTACACTACATGGAGTCTGCCACAAGAAGAGCAGTTATTCTACCAGGTTTAAATAAAAATATGAAAGAAGCCCTTGAGGAAACTCAAATTACAAACTTCCTATTTGGAGGAGAAATAAGCAGTGTCCTTAAAAGATTAAAGGACCTTGAAAGGTCTAAAAAAGATTTACTAACTCCTTTAAACTATTGCTGCCCATCTCCACCAATGTCAACTCAATATCAGCCTCGAAGCGGGCAAAGGGGCAACTACCTGAGCAGGATAAAGTCACAACAGAGAAGATACAAACAAGACATTCAAGATCCTCAACCAGCTCGAGCTCCTGCTCCAGCCCAGCAGTGGGGATATTTCCGAGCAGCTCGCAGCAGACGCCGAGTGCAGTCGCCGAGAAGGAGAGAATAGAGGTAACCACAGCCGGTCGCCTGTCTTTATTCTACTCTAAATGGGCTGATATTATTATAAATAAGACAGTTTTACAATGGGTCAAGTTAGGTTATAAAATTCCTGTAAATCGTAGTGTGTGTCAACCATATCCCCCCAATAATACTAACTTTAGTCAACCAGAAAAGCTTATCATTAAGACTTGTATTAAAGAATTGGAACAAATAGGGCCAATAAAAGTATGTGAACCGTTTATTGGTCAATATTTATCTAGAATATTCCTAATTCCTAAATCAGATGGGTCCTCATGATTCATTCTAAATTTGAAATCATTTAACACATTTGTCCAAACCTATCATTTTAAAATGGAAGATATAAGAACAGCTTTAAAGTTAATAAGTAGAAGGTCCTACCTAGGTTCCATTGATTTAAAAGATGCATAATATTTGTTAAACATACATCCAAGCAGTCGCAAATATTTAAGGTTTATGTTTAATGATGAAACTTATGAGTTTCAAGTCTTACCTTTTGGACTTTCCTCTGCACCATATGTGTTTACAAAATTAATAAAACCAATAATGTTTTACCTTAGAGAACAGGGCTTTAACTTTGTTAATTATTTAGATGATTATTTGCTTCTAGGTAAATCAGAAAAAGAGTGTCAGGAAAATATAGACATGAGTTGTAAAGTGCTAGAATCTCTGGGTTTTATTATAAATTTTAAGAAAAGCAATCCAATACCTTCAAAACATTGTAAGTTTCTTGGTTTTATATTAGATTGTGAAAATTATACAATTTCCATACCAAATGAAAAACGCATAAATATTTTACATAAATTAAAGTCACTTATGAATTTAAAATCCACAACAATTAGGTCTTTTGCTTCCTTAATAGGTATGTTCATATCAGTTTGTCCAGCTATCCCATATGGTTTAATGTATACAAAACGCTTAGAGCGTTATAAGTATTTATCTTTGAAGAAATATAATAATAATTTCAATTGTAAATTAACTCTGGAAAATCAAAAAGAGGTTATTGAGGATCTTATTTGGTGGAAAAATCACATATTGATATCAAGTAATCTGATTAAAGAGGGTGTTTATCAAATGGAAATATTTACAGATAGTTCACGCAGTGGATGGGGTATTGTGTGTGGCTCAAAAAGACTACATGGATTTTGGAATAAAAAAGATAAAAAACAACACATTAATTTTTTAGAGTTACAGGCGGTACACTTCGGATTACAATGTTTTGCTAAACATTCCCATGACTGTGAAATACTAATCCGTTGTGATAACACTACAGCTATATCTTACATTAACCGAATGGGTGGCATACAATACTCACACCTAAGTAACTTAGCTTGAAAAATTTGGCAATTTTGTGAAAAAAGAAATATATTCATATTTGCTTCTTACGTATCATCAAATGATAATTGTCTTGCTGACAAAGAATCCAGAAAAGTTAATAAAGAAAAAGAATGGGAACTAAATTCTTATGCCTTTCCACCATACTCCTTAATCTTAAAATGTCTAAAAAAGATAGAAATTGATAGGGCATAAGGTATAATGGTGGTACCTTTTTGGCCTACTCAAGCCTGGTTCCCATACTTTATGTCTTTAAAAAAGTCTGCTTTATTTAATTTTACCCAGATAAACAACTGTTAACATCTCCTTTCAGGAGTCTTCACCCGTTGCACCACAAACTTACCCTGGTTGCCGAAGTGCTATCAGGGAAATATATACAAGAAAAGGGCTAACTGATGAAAGCATAAAAATAATAATTAATTCATTGTCTGAAAACACAATTAGACTGTATGATTCATGTATAAAACAGTGGTGGAGCTACTGTAGGAGTGAGAAAATTGATCCAGAAAATTGATCCATTTCTATTGAACATTTCAAAAATTTTAGCATTTCTTACTGAGAAATTTAATTGTGGTTTTGCCTACGGAACTCTCAACTCCATCAGGTCATCATTATCACTAATATTAGATTATGGTTTGGGTTCAGACAGAGACATTAAGAGATTCTTTTCTGGTATTTATAAAATGAGGCCAAATAAACCCAAATATGATCAAACCTGGAGTCCAACACAAGTTTTAGATTATGTAGCTAAATTTTACCCAAACATAGAACTTTCTCTAGATATTTTATCAAAAAAAATTAATTATTCTCTTAAGTCTAGTAACTGGACATAGACTTCAGACTATGTCATTAATTAAAATAAGTAATATAAGTTATAATGAAGATAACATTAAGATTAAAATTCCTGATACAGTTAAAACATCTAAAATAAACAATTTTCAACCTTTATTAATTATACCATTTTATAAACCGAATATTT